CAGTATCCTCTCTTAAGATAGTCTATGCCAAGGATGCACAGGGCATCTGAGCCAGTCACAATGGGGTGCTTTTGCCATTCCTTCCCAGTCTGACTTATTTCAGCCTCCAAGACAGTCAGTTGTTGAGATCCCCCATTGACTTCAGAAGTACTAGTGGGTTGTACCCCTGTCCCGGCCTGGTTATCCTGGCAAGGGTCAATATCCTTCTGATATTGAGGGCTCCACAGCTGGACGCAGCACTCCAGGTGGGGTCTCACCAGAGCAGAGTAGAGGGGCAGAATCATCATTCAGGCCACTGTAGTCCACTGTCAATCTCCATTCTCCATCAGACTTAACTGGCCAGATGGGGCTGTTAAAGGATGAGTGGGTTTTGCTGGTCACCCCTTGGCTCTCCAACTGATGAATCAGCGTCTGGATGGGAAGCAGAGTCTCGGTTGGTACGATATTGTTGCTGGTGCACTGTTGTGGTAGCGATTGGCACCTGTTGGTCTGCAACCTTTAGCAGTCCCACAACAGAAGGGTCCTGTGAGAGACCAGGCAAGGCAGACAGCTGCTCACTGTCCTCAGTCTCTATAGCAGCTATCCCAAAAGCCCACTGGTACCCTTTTGGGTCCTTACAGTATCCTCTCTTAAGATAGTCTATGCCAAGGATGCACAGGGCATCTGAGCCAGTCACAATGGGGTGCTTTTGCCATTCCTTCCCAGTCTGACTTATTTCAGCCTCCAAGACAGTCAGTTGTTGAGATCCCCCATTGACTTCAGAAGTACTAGTGGGTTGTACCCCTGTCCCGGCCTGGTTATCCTGGCAAGGGGGAGATTCACTGTTGTACCCAGAGTGAAATTAAGACACAAATGAGCTCAGATGCCACTAACAAAGAACTTTATTTTTGTTGTAAGAAAATAGTGATGGGAGAGAGAAGAAATAGAAAAGGGGGAAAATTTAGCAAGCAGTCGGGCTAGAATTTTAAGAGGTAATCACCACCATGGATCCAGCGGTGTCCCATTGGTCCGTAGTCTTTGGTGGTGTTCTGGCCCGGTTATCCCGGGAAGGGGGAGATTCGTTGTTATACCCAGAGTGAGATTAAGACACAAACAAGGTCAGATGACACTAACAAAGGAGTTTATTTTTGTTGTAAGGAAGTAGCGATAGGAGAGAGAGAAAATAGAAAAGGGGGGAAAATTTAGCAAGCAGTCGGGATAGAATTGTAAGAGATAGTCACCCCCATGGATCCAGCAGCGTCTTGTTGGTCCGTAGTCTTCACTGGGGAGGGTCCCTCATCGCGGTTTGGTCTCAGTCTTTTATAGGGTATTTGTTTGACTCCTGCGCACGCACGCTCTCAGTAGCTGATCCCATGGGGTGCACAGGACCACTATGTGACCAGTTGCATGCTTTTGGCTTTAAGTGGCTTCAGGCTTGGGGGTCCTCTGTGTCTGGATCCTGCATGAAGCGATGTGATTGTTCTCTGTCCTTGGTCAGAACTTGTCTCCAGAGGCTATTTGCTTCCTATCTGTTCAGTAGGCCATTTGGCCCTTACCTATTCAGGCCTTCAGGCAATCCCTGCTCTGCCAAGCCACCAGGAAGTTTCACAACTTTGTCAGCAAGCTTTGAGACAACTCAAGATAAAGTCTCCCACACCACCTTGTGGCTCAGAGCTTGTTGCTTCTTCTGACATGGTGGTGGAAAGGTAGAGAAAATAGTCAGATGTGGAAAAGAGCATAGTTTTATACAGTCTTCACAACTAAAGGTTTAGGCCAATATGCTGCGCAGATATGTTTAACATCACCATTAGGTAAAGCAGTTAAAAACTGCATATTTGAGACTGTGCGTTGGATCAGTTGTATAAAACATGAAACGAATAACAATAATGCAACAACACAATACATAAAACAGAACGCGCTTGACCCATGGGGCACCTGGAAGCCACCAAGAGAAGGGATCAAATTTCCAGCCCTTCCAGGTTTGAACAGGGACATGAGCCAGTTTCCGTATTCCTGAAGTGCTATTGTCAATTTCACACGGCAATTAGAGTAATTCAGTTTCCCACAGACACCCCCTTCTTTGGCTAGTAGGTAATCGAGAACCATACCATGTTGGAATATTGTCTTTTGCATCTGAGTGGCCTGATCTGCCAATAAATCCAGGGCATGAGCCATTTCATCAGTAATAATTTCAAGGACAGCTTGTAATCTGATGATGCAGTTTGTTATAGATGGGTTCTCGGGCACCACTAACACAACAAGATGTCGAAAAAGGACAAAAAGTTTCACTTTTGGGTAAATAAATTCCCCATAGGACTGGATGAGAACTTAGACAAAGCAGAAAGTGGACATTCAGCTGCAGACCAGGAACTTGATGGCATTTTCAGCACAGAGTGCTTAGATAATGGCAAGGAACATTATCCTTATATTAACAGAAAACGATTTAGACAAAGCAAATGAAGACAAAGCCAACAGACACCTCTCTCCAAACTTCAGGATGAAGATATTCTTCACAAAAACAGAAGACCTGTCCAATTCAGAGGCCAGCAGCTCAACCTCTGCAACACCAGATGTCAGTGACAATGAACCCGATTATCATAGATACTCTTGACACCACCAACTCTGATCCAGAGAATGAACCTTTTGATGAAAATCAGAAGGCCGTAACTACGAGGATTGTACAAAGAATCAGGGTTCACTTCTGTCTTTTCTCTAAACTGCAGTTTGCATAAAATTTGAAGTGTAAGCAAAAGTCAGGAATTTAGCCATTTCTAGTAGTGTCCTAACTCAATATAATAGGAATCTCTCTCTGTTTGTAACTCTTGCCAGTTCTTGCAATTTAAAGAATTGCTGAGACTGAAATCCATTGCAGATATTTTGGAAGAATAGGTGAAAATCAAAGAAGGGAATTATTTTTATCCATTCTAGCTAAATGGTAGGTCAAATCTGTGGTTATATTATTTGAAATTTGGTTGTTTATGTTGACAGCAACTATAGCATAAAAATAAAATCAGCAAAGTCAACTTTATAAAGAACACAAATGTCAAATAAAATACTTTCCATGTATCTCTGAACAATGCATGAGGGTAAACTTTACAGTGAAACCATGCAATCAAACTATTGTTCTTCTAAACTTTCCCCTCCTTATACGTTCCTTTATCCTAGCAATTAATGTAAATCTTTCAGACAACCATTTACAGAGATATTGCTTAAAATAAATTTAACTACCATCCATCCAAATATCTTGCATGATGAAGAGCACAGCACAGTTCACAACCTTTTTTTCCTTTTTTGTAGAAACTCCAAACTACCCAGCCCTTTCAGTTACTTTAGTCACCATGTATATGCTGTACTGCTTCAGTATAACAAATCTTTCTTTTTCCGTAGCAGATTTAATGAAACTACCTATCTGTTCAGTAGGCCATTTGACCCTTACCTGTTCAGGCCTTCAGGCAATCCCTGCTCTGCCAAGCCACCAGGAGGTTTCACAACTTTGTCAGCAAGCTTTGAGACAATCGACTCAAGATAAGGTCTCCCACAACTGCTTTATAGCTTGATGGCATGAGGGTACGCTGCGCACCCGAGTCTACTAGAGCTCCATACTCCTGCAGCTCTGATGTACCAGGCCATCGAATCCATACAGTCCAGTAAACACGGTTGTCCCTTTCTTCTACCTGGCTGGAGGCAGGGCCTCTCTAATACTGATATGCCTCACTCACATTGTGGAGAAACAGATTATTGTTCATGTCAGATCGTCCATCCTGTTTGGATATGGGAGCAGCAGTCTCCTGGAAGAATCCCCACTGCTGAATTTTTTTCCCCTTTAAATTCACATACTCATTCCTCTAAATGTGAGGTAGGTTTTCTATCCCACCTCCTCATGTCCTCTCAATGGTCATGTAGGTAAAACAACAGGGTACCCCAGGATGGATACCTGCTGTATTCCATTCTTTGAGCAGAGGAACGCTTACTCCTAATAGCAGAGATACTGGCTCGCACAGATGAGGAGCAGAACATCTCTCTGAATTGCTGAAACTCCTGGGACAGTTTCTCTACAGCCAAGACACAGGCCTGTATGGGGGAAGAGACACTTTCTTCATATTCCCGGAACTGGCAAATCATCTCGTCCACTGTCAGTGCCTCATCCTTTTTCTGAGTTATTATTGCAGGCACACTGGCATACGAGTACGGCGCACTCCGCATTGACTTCTGTGTGGGCTGCGTGCATTGAACTTCATCTGGATTGGTGGGTGTTCGCGAATTGTTCAGGTCACGATAAACTATCTCCAGCACTGCTGGTTCCCTCAGGTACTGGATACTTTCTTCCATGGTGGTCCATTTGCCTGGCTGATGTGGCACACTTTCTTAAAAGGATACCTTTCCTTCACGTTTGTCAGGAGTCATCTCCAGAGGCTTACATTTTGTCCTTCTTCCAATTGCTTTGTTAATGCCCCTTTCTCTAGCAAGTGACCCCAACTGCTTGGCTTTGGGGGTCTCCAGGAGATAACTCACGAAGTACCAGAGTCCTGACAATATTAGATACAGGTACGGGGTTCCTCCCAATATCAGCAATACATCAGACAGCCTAACAAAACCCTTCAACCTGGTTCAAGCATGTAAGATCAGGATAGTAAGGAACACATAAGGCGGTAGATCCCACCGTTCTGTGAGCAACAAGAGCCCAGAACTCAACATCTTGATCAGCCACCACCACATGCTATACCAGATACTTACCACGTGCTATTCAGATCTGTTCTTATCTCAACTGTCTCCCACCTTGGGTGCCAAAAAGAACTGCCATAGTTTAGCCTTATCTGGCAATTAAATACCACTCATCTGCTCCCTTACCACCCCACTTCCTCCCACACTGGAGGGGAGGTGGAGGAAAAGACAAGGAAGCTCATAGAAGTTGAGGTAACAACAATTTAATAATTGAATATAAATTAAAATTATAGTGATACTACTAATAATAAGTAATGAAAATAATAGCAATTAGAACATATGAAACAATAGCTCACCACCTACCAACTGACACACAGCCCAAGAAGTGAGAATTCAAGCCTGAGAGCCCATGGAGCCAGAGCCCCAGGGCGACAACCATGAAACACTGTGAATATGCAAAACATTTTTGAGTATAGTATTTGTATTGTACTCGTCAAGGTTTTGATGACACGAAAAGCTAGATCATGACTCTGCATCTGGACAATCTGCAAAAGAATAACCGACGGATTTGTAATCTACATGTGCTGCTAGATTGTCACGTGAATCTTCCGAAGTCAAGAACTGGGTGCATCTTCAGTACTTATTTAAAAAAAGGCACAACACTGGGCTGAAAGGGGCTCAGCAACGAAACCTGAACTTTATATCAACTCAGCAAAAGGTACCACGGTGTATCATATGTACGAGAATCTTAGTGAGAAATGAAACATTTGAACCAAAAGTAGGTTCACTTTTATTCAGGAGTGACCACCTCGTCTTCCTGGAGACCACATCAGCATAATGGGACAACTGTACACCCACTTCACTGCTTCCTGGCAAAGTGGAAAGAGAGGGGCTGGGATAACTAAGAGTACAGGGCAGAAGGAAGGAGGAAGTGAGACAAGTAGGTCTTGTATGTAAGTGGAGCTTTCAAACTGAGATATTTTCTAAGTTGGCTGAAGTTTAAAAGGATGCAGCCTCTTAGATTCCAGCATGGACAAGAAAAACAGTTTGTCTGCAGTTAGGACTGCTAAACTTGATCCGTGAACCTGCCTTGTAGCTTATCTTGAAACGACAGCCATTTGGAGCGACGCGGAAAGGACCTGCTGCCGGTAGATACCGTAATGTTGGCTTACCCCTGATACACCCAGGTGTAGCTCTGCCTGCGAGGCTGCTGCAGTCAGCTCAGTTGAGGCTCACCCACAGAATGGGGGAGAGGACCAGGAGGAGGCTGCCACTGCTGAGTTAGGAGGCTGCTGCCTTGTGCATGCACTATCTCATCCTAACTTCTTGGTGCCTTAAAGCGAATACGGCACTCTTCAGAAGGTTTTAAGAGCTGAAGAGCTTTTGGGAGGTAGAGGAGACAGGGAAGCTGTTGTTATACCTGGAGGGAAAAGATACTTAGCTGTGCTTTTAAGTGTTAAACTCTCCAGTTATTCTGTATTAACCATTAACCTTGAACGCACAGTAGGATGCTAGTTTTGTAGTATCCTTATTTCTTTTTATTGCTTATTTTCCTTGTTCTGATCAGTTTATTATTTCCCCTGTGCAGGTTTGCCATGTGGAAATTTGTGTAATGTGAGAGCTTAAGTTGGAGTAATCTGAATGTAGAGGAATTAAAAAGTAATAATTACGTCAGAGTCTTACATCTGAACTTCAGTCTCTTGGGGTCATCTCCATTTGTTTAACTTGCACAAAGTGCTGTGAGAAATCCGACAGTTTGCTAATTTTGCTGATGGATACTAACTATCTTTAATTTGCAACTAGGGAGAAGGTAACTGAAAGATGGAAAATGGACTTCTAATGAAACCTTAAGCAGTGTTTTATAATTATTCTTGTGAGTCTGAGTACTAGGGATGAAAGTGCTGTGGGAAATGATGAGGAGAAGCTGCTACACAGGCTGCAAGAGCTTCAGGGAAGAATCTGACTAAAAGCGCAGGAAGCACCTGTCAAGAGTAGTGACTGCAGGACTGAAGGGGTTGATGGAGTTAAACAAGACCAGAGTTGACTTTTACTTGAGTTCAAAGACATGGGAAGGCAGAAGAAAATACAGCTATTTCGTTTATTATTTGAGAAAGAGGCTGATGTTGGACGTCAGGGTGCAAAAATTAGGGCACATGTAGAGGCATATAAAATGTATGTAGAAAGCAGCATAAAAAGTCCAAAGCCACAGAATTGTATTCAGAAGTTGGAGGTGGCAGAATTTGTTTAGGTTCAGAAGAATATACTTCAGTGTTTTAATGGTAAAGAATTTTCTAAAAGGAATCTCGAATTTTTTTTTTTTCCCCCCTGATGTCTGATACAATTGAAGAACAAAGGCTATATGTGTGTCAAACATTAAGAAATATTTGGTCAGTTTAATGTCTCAAAAGAGAGCAGTTAAATATGGGTCACCAGTTAAATATGGGACACCATTTAGGTCATGACTATGGCTGTTGTAGTTGCGCAGGCTGAAGTAGAGCTGTTCAGTCTCGTTCCTCAGCCCTCAAGGTAATTACCCGTAAGACGGTTCCTCTGCCTTAAAATTCCTGTTGCTCACTAGATCATGTTTTAAGCAGGTGAAAAACCAAACTAGTCTAGTTCAGACGGTTTTAGCTAAGTTGAGAAAGCAAATGAAGTTAAGTTCTGGAATTAAATTGTGTTCTGAGTTAATATGGAAAAAATATTTGGTTTCTTTTCAGTAGTTTGTAGGAAAGTGAATAGAAAGGCTGCTTGCTTTTCCCCCCTTCCCCCCCAATTTATTTGAATACTTGATGGAGTACTGAATTATCACAAATGAATAACCTCCAATTTTTCTAGGCATTTGGCATAGCTGCTGATGAAAACTTTGTTATCACCACAACAAACAGGAAGGAAATTACAGAAGACAACTTCAGTAAGTATCTTGGATGGCAAAATAAATACAGTTGTTTCTTATATTTATTGTAGAGACTGTGTGATTGTTCATACTATGACATGTACTAATTAACTGGAGGTACAAATCCTGTAATAGTTTGCCAAGAATTGTTACAAAATTGACTTCCACAAACAAGTT